TGGCAATTTTCAAGATCAAATGACATAATATTCGGGTTCAGAATGGCAATTTGGGCTGCTATGTGAGCTTGAAAGCGTTGCACCAGATGTTGTTTTGCAGGATGGACGTGACTCCTTGTGAAACTTGAAGAAAAAGAATCAACAACCATGTAGATTTCAGTATGCAGTACATATAAGATAATCTTCTCTATGTCATTTGTTTTCCTAATATATATTGTATCTGTTTGTCTATTTTGTCATCAAAGTAAACCCAAGTTCTATAATAGTAAATCAATGACAATTTAGATGCCCATATTACACTATCATATGTCATGTTATTATGTTGTTTACTCATCAAGAACAGACATGGAGTTGTGTTTTGTTTCATTCGCACACCTATTTGACACTGTGCACTGCACCCTTCTCCACACTCTGTTCCACCTTGTGATGTCATGTGGTATTTTGAGCTATGGAGCTGTTGAGCCTGATAATAAAGGGTTACTCAAACGTGTGAATGAAACAAAACACACCTGCTGGTATGTTTTTGATGAGGTAACAGCATTCTAACATGAATTAAGGCTCACAAGAATTCATTTTATGTAATATAGGAGCTTTAAAAAAAAGTTAGGGTTAGGGTAACACAGTAACAATGTTTTAGTTAATGCTCACTCAGAACTATTCTTATATAATGCAGTTTCCGGCAGTGACACAGAAGATATTCCATTGCTCTTTTTTTATATTGTTCTGGCATATACTATACTTAATAATAACTATATACACACCTTGATAAAAGATACAGACCTATTTCATAATCAGCAAATAATTTATGATGAATTAATTTATTGTTAATTTGGTAGTTACTAGGCCTTAATAAACTTGTTATTTTTATATTTTTTACTGCAAATATTTTAATTTTACATAGAAAAGGACAAACGTGGTGGATTTCCTCCAAAATGCTAGATGTATGACGCTGAGTGCTGAGTGCTCTTAGTTCAATATTATTATATTATTAGTACAAGCAAGATTCCAAGATTGTGTGTCACTGGTTATGACAATTGTGAAACATGATGCTAAACTTTACACCGCGTTAGCTGGAATGACTCATAATAGCCTGGCTCCAGCTCCCATTGGCTTTATTACATTTCTCATATTTTGACTTTGACTTTTGTACAGTGTAGTATACTCCAGCTGGCCACTGTATTTACTCTAGCACACATAAACACTTAAGATTAGCACACATCTGATTTATTACCACAACTGACTAGTATTTTCATACCAAACCAAAAAGTTACGCTATTTCTCCATTGCCTAATAACTAGAAAGATTGAATTTGGCTCTGGGTGTTCTCTATTATCTGTAAAAGTGAGCTATTTGGCACTGTAAAGTCCAGCATGGTTCTGAAAGACAAATACTGGGACAGCACAAATATACAAATGCCCACACGGAAACGCCGCTTTCTCACAGTCTCCTCGGGCTGTTGTTTGAGTTACCCCCTGACCTTTGACCTCTGCTGGGCTTTGGAGGAAAGACTGTTGGCCTTCATGTTTCTGCGACTGCATCTTCTCCAGACAAAACACAAGATTACACGATACTTATATGGACTTAAATAAACAGATTTTTTTTTTTTTTTTACTTTTCTGTCTGCTTCGTTTACTAGTGATGGGACTTTCAGCTCTTTTATGGGATTCGAACCTTTTGGATCCATTTGTGTCAAAGAGGCTTTTCAAAAGACTGGCTCTTTTTACATTTATTTATGACAGAAGCCAATGTGAGTACTAAGATTAATTTAAAATGATTCAAATTGAGAGTACGAGTGTGTTTTTATCCTATGCATAATCTAAATAAAATGTTGCACTACAATAATAATAATAATGATTTTTTTAAAAAAAGTTGTTATTATATGATGCCAAATATGCTTTATGTTTTTATTTTATTCAGGGCCCAGACCCAAACTTGGTGGCTCAGTTCCAACTCAGGTCTGGTCCAATCTGGTTGGTGTTCTACTGCCATGTAAGGCTTTTCTAAATGCAAAACATTACCATCTGTTTTAAGGACTAGATATAATTGTATTTGAAGTAAGCATATTTAACAAAATGACCATTTCTATTTGTCTGGAACACTGAGAGTTTGGACATGCTACCACCGCACTGTTGCAGTCACATACTAGTCAGGTGAGGTCATATAGTGAGTTATTAAAAAATATTATTTGCGCAAATTACAGTGTTATAACCCCACTCATATTATTGATGTTCATTAAGAATTCTTGTCATGTTATGCATTGGTGGGGGCCAGCAAGTCTTCAGTACAAACAGGAAAATAGGTCAGGTGAAAGACAACATCAAAACATGACACTTTTTTATTTTATTTGTGCAGTTGTGCAGTTAATAGCCTAAAGGTGATTGTACTGCCAGTAGCTCAATAATTAGGGTTCTTAAATTTTTTCTAAATCTACTATAAATCAACTTTGTTCGACACTTAAATCAAAGAGGAATCCCTTTCATCTCTGAAAATCTTTTAACTTTTTTTTTTTTTTTTTTTTTTTTTTTACACAAGACTGGTCTCTGAAGGCTGTCCATGGGGTTTGAAACAGATGTGTGTTCCCCAGCAGTTCAATCCAGAGCCAAAAACTTAACTTAATAAAGACACATATGCAGTTCTTTGTAAGCTCCAATGATTATTTTATTAATTGCTATGAAATGTCGCCAAGGGAACCCTTTTGAGACAGGAACAAAAATATTAGGTCACATCTGAAACACTCTGAAGTCAAAAGTCAACATTTGGCACCCAAGCAGCACACGGAAGACTTATCAGATTTTATTTAGATGGCCAATCTAGATTATGCTTCAATGACAAAGGAGAAATTAAATTTGTCAACTGGACAAATTTCTCCTTTGCCAAGAATTCTACCTGGACAACCAAGGGATGTTACACACATTATGCTTTAATGTGTCTCCTAACCTGGATTTTTTTCCTTTCTAGTCTAAATGATACCTGACATAGTTCCCAAGTTAAACTGTCCAGACACTGTCCAGAGTGTTGCAAACTTAAGCCGTCTGTTTCCAGGTTAACCCATTTCTCCCTGTTGTGCAACCCTCTCAAATCCTTCTTCACCTTAAGCCATTGATAAGGAAGTGGACTATATTTTTCCCTGCTGTTACAATGCAAAAGAACTACAGATACCTATGGACTCATTGGAGGGAGGAGGTGTGTATTACAGTACGATAGCTGGTGAATTACTGAGCAGTAACCATACCGGTGTACTGAGCATGCTTACACTGGAGCTAACTAATCCACTTTCTGCAGATGGGCTAATGTCCTTACTGTAGCTGAGAGAGGGGATATATTTAGTGTCCACTCTCTCTCTCTCCATCTAACAACGAGGATATTCATTGACACGGTTCTACATATTTGAGCAAGTTTTGCAAAATATTAATGATTACAAAAAATATAAGAATTGTGCATTTTGAGATGGCTCACTATTGGGATCGCTATATTTCATTGCTCCAAATGTTCTACAGTATTGTATTTAATTTCAATTCTATGGTGACACAAAGGTGATACCACTAGGGCATTCCAAGTTACAGGTCAGATCTGTGGTGAAGCTACCCATTCAAAGAAAAAAAGCATGTTTTTCATTCACTGTATTTGACTAAATGGATGATGAGAAGTCTAATCAGATATTGGGACACTGGGAAAGTTACATGGTGCACCTTTGGTGGTACATGGTGCAATAATTTGGAGAAGCAAGCTTGTGCATTGTTACTAATACAAAATGTAATACAAAATTGACTCTTGGGATCTTTAAGACATGTTAAAATGTTGTTACCTCATCAAAAACATACCTAGAGCTGTGTTTTGTTTCATTCACACATGTTTGAGTAATCTTTTATGATTAATCCATCCACATGCAAAATCAGTTTCACCCTATAATGTCATGAAGCGGTCGTTTTCAAGGTAACAGCTATTTTTTTACTTTTGGGTTAGTAAAATTGGCAATTCCAGGACTGAAATAATCCAAATGATTCTACTAAAAAGTAGAGCACTTCCTGTATTACTACATGGCATCACAAGGTGGAACAGTGTTTTCTGTTTGGGAGAAGAACTCATCTTAAATATCCAAGGTGTTAAACATGTGTGAATGAAACAAAACACAGCTCCAGGTATGTTGATGTACATGATGAGGAAACAACTTAGATTTTAAAAAATGCATAATATGGGCCCTTAAACCCCAACTGTTTCTAAATGATTATTTGTTACTTTAAAAAATCAATAGCCACGCTTATTTACTACAACTAATAAGCCTTTTATAGCTGCTGACCTTTTCAAAACGTATTGTTCTTGTTTAATTCTCAACACTCCTGCAGTATGGGATTTGGCTATTGAAGGTATATTTCCTCATTGTCAACAGTGAAAGTGACATGTGGGCATTAGATGGATCAATGGACAATCTACTCAATCACTGAGCAGGTGTCTTGGGATCTAAGGGCTCTGCTGGTAGTGAGGCCTGTCTTTGTATGCAATGAACTTTGGCAAACTGCTCTGCGATTGCCCGCTGACGTGGGTCTATGACGTCTCTCCAAAGGGAAATCCTCCACTCTCATCTGTCACTTACTGGCAGCAGTGCGCTCTGCCCTCTGGGACTGAGTTCTACCTGAGTGTATTGACCTACTCAAGTAAGACCAGACATTAAGCGCCCAAATCAACAAACGCTCTGTGGGATGAGTAAAAAAAAAGAGGCAAAGCTCATTTCTGACAGATCTTTTCTCTTTTAATTAATTGTTCCAAATATTCAGTATCTGTGTCCAAATGGGCAGTATCACAATCTCTTTAGAGCAACTGAAATCCACATGAAACTTCGAGCTCGCACATAGACTGTGTCCACACATGCTGCTCATCATTAGCCACAGTAATAAGACACAACAACAGTTCTACTATCAGTCAAACACAAACTGTACAAAAATAAAGATTGATAGAAAAATACATCTGAAAATATGTTTGAGACATCCTGCAGAGGCTAGCACTTTGGTTGTGATGACAAAAGCCGTATGTTTATTGCTTTCAAAACAATTGTGTCAATGTGATTATGCATCATACAGAATTATCGATATGCACTTTGGTACTTTCCCAACTCTTTGCTGTCAGCTGCTCCAAACAGACTATCATTCATAAACAGATGAATATTCAAACATCATGTGTTTGCAGTCTCACAATATGTGTTTATCACATATTTTACTTTAGGTTGCAACATTAAAACGTGACTTTTAAGTTCTTCCAATATAAGATGATAAAAATGAATGTGTGTGATATAATCTCTTCCAATTGAATGTAATCCAACACATGTGTCTGTACATTCTGGATCTATACATCTCAACAGAATATTCATCCCACACATATTTCCTCTCCTCTCACTAACAGCTTTTTGGTGCTTTGCACAATCTGTTACACTCTGGATATCAACAGTATTTACTCCTTTGCACTTCTGCTTTAGCTGCCAAACCTTTCTCCTTTTGCAATAGATTCTCTTTTTTTTTTGAGCTGCTCCTCCCCTCTCATTATAGATGATGAGATTATGCCGTTACTTCCTCTTTGATAATCAGAATATGCATTTTGCCCACCAGCACTGCAGATAAGAGCTCAGCTAAACACTGACACAATTTATTGATTAAAATTATTTAACTTAGCAAAGCTAAGCATGCTATTTGTTGGTCATGATATATTCACTTTAATATTATAACTTTCATCTGTTCACTACAGTTAAAATAACAAAAGATCTCTTCCCTTTCTGTTTCATCTAGGCACTTACAGATATTATTTCACAACAGAAATAAATCATGCATTGTTTTGTTGTTTTTGGTCTTAAAGTAGATCTTAGGGTTTGTAAACAACTTCCTTATTTTGCATTGTCCTGCACAATACTGATTGTGTAAAGGTCAAAGGTCTGAAGCAAGCTGCATGTCTCTGTTTGTTTTTGAGTCTCAAGACAAGTCAATAATACTTTTTACATGTTATTATCATTATCCCTATCAGTGCAGATAATGAGCCAGACTTTGTTTCACTGATGAAGAATGGTGCTCCCAGATGCTGCTTACTGCTAACAAAGTCGAAAGTGCTCCTCTGGAGAGAGATTACAATATAATGAATATGAAGGACTTAATTTCAGTTGCAGGACAGCCATGGTGCGTACATCGGATGCTGTGGTGGAATGTACTGTTGGGGGGGTGATGGTGGACATGAGTACATAGGTTGGACCTGTGCTATGTAGTAGTTGTTAAAGTTTCCATCAGAAACATATGGGGCTGGCTGGTAAAAGCAGGTGACATTTGCAGCATTGGGGATGGCGTTCTGTTCCGCCAGTACTCTCAGTGCAAGAGAAGAGATGAGACTGAGCGTCTGTCGCCTCTCATGTCCCATGAGGCACACCGTACTCTCCTGAACCACATGGTACAATGTGGCCAGGTAGTCATACTTCCTGTCCTCTAAGTCGACAAAGTGGTTCTGAAGGTAGGACTCCAGCTTCCTCCGCTGATCATTCACATCAGGGAAGTCTATGAAAAATCGTGAACACATGTAGCGCTGTAATAATTTCATCTCTTCATCAGAGGCGGCGCGGAAGCCCCGCACCAGCAGGTGGCAGTACTTGAGCAGGCCTCCTCCTCGAATCTCCTCGGGACTCCTGGTGCATATCAGACGCTTGCGTAAATGGTCCAGAGCGGTGGGGAAGTCTCCATAGACACTCTCTCCCAGGATGGTGGGGTGGAAGGTGGCAGCCATGGGGTGCTCCGAGCACTCGTAGAAGAGCAGCAGGGAGTCCAGGCGGATCTGGAAGGAGTCCACGCTGAACTCAAACTGCCTCCGAAGAGAGTCCACAAACTTGAGCTCCACGTTCTTGCCACGGTTATTGGAAAGAGAGATGAGACTCCACCTGTCTGAGTCATTGCACACTTTGACCATCTTCTGCACATAGGCCTCCTGCACACAGTGTAAAAAAATTACTACACAAGTGAAAAGAACATGGCTTCAACTGGGACCACTTTTTAGGACCAGTTCATGCTAAATACTCAGAAAACAAGTAGAACAAAAGAAGGTTTCAAGCGTCAGTTAAACAATAATAATAATCATCAAGATTGACCTAATCTGAATGTGGCTAACATTAAACACATGTGGTGTTGATCACATCTGTAGCTGCAGTGCCTGAAGCCAGTCTCCAGGCAACCGAACGCAGACTGATTAATGTGGAATCTACTCCAATTGGATTAGACAGTATCCTCTTTTGTAGTTTTTGAAGACCTGGATCAAATAGGTCAGAGGCAGATATGTATCATTACAAAACCAAAGGACAGTAGATTTGAACAAAACTGACCGGTGTGTCTTTTACTATCTAAACTAATACTGGCACAGCTCACTGTAGTTACAGATGCAGACAGGATAAATAACGACCTTTACTACACTTCACTGAAAAAGTTCCGTTTACTTATCATTACATAGCTTTTCCAAGAAGTAGATCTTTATGAAAGCAAATGATGATGCAGTAGTACTTACAAAGACAAAAAATAATAATAATAATAATACAATACACCATACCTTTAACGTGATCGGCGTGATTTTTTCCTTATTGACTCCTTCTGGGAGAAAGTCTAGAAGTGAGTCTAGAACTATGTCCTTGACGATCTGAAACTCCAGTTCCCCTTTGAGGTCAGCGCAGAATATGAGGTCCAGGTCCTTCCACCCCAGCCCGCTGTCCTCGTGCAGCACGTAGCTGGCTGCAGAGCCGTTCAGGCGCACCTCTCGGACGTGAATCCCCTTCTCCTCCATGCGGCTCCGAACCACTTTAACTATGTCCCGTGGCTTCACCTCCAGAGTGGGGAAGCTCCATCTGCCGTGGATGGGTATGCTGCCTGTGAGGATAGAGTCCAAGCGCTGCACTTGCTCCCAGTTCAGCACGCTCAGGTTGATAGTCTCTGCGTTCAAGTTGCTGTCAACTTTTACGCATTTGGCGTTCTCATCCATAGTGAGACAGTAAAATGTGGTTCTAGCTAGTGTCAAGTGTCGCTTGAGTTCACAGTGCACAGGGCACGGAGTTTTCAGAGCATTTTATGCAGGGGCAAATAATTTAAAAGTAAAATTTGTGCAAAGCGGTTACTCCGTCCGCGCGTCTTGGATGTTCACCGACGCATCCATGCCCCCGGTAAACCGGCTGTGTACTGGATATCTCCCACAAGTTCATGCGTCTTGACGCATCCCTCCACGTCTGTCACGAACTCTTCTGCACAACAACTTTCACAAAGTGGTGCAGCGAAGGCGAATTCTTCACATTTTGGACCTAAAATATTGGAAAAAGTCCTGCGAGATGCTACAGACGTTCAGCTTGTCCCCAGCTGCAGCTCAACTTCTGAGACTGCGCTTCCCGTCTGAGAAGAGTCTGGGCGGGTCTATGTTTGATTGACAGCTCACACCTAGATACCGCCTCCTGATCACCAAGGGGAGGCCGGGTACTCTTGAACCTACCTAAATTGAATTAATTTACTTATTCTGCTATATTCCCCATGTCTCCCCTATTTGCTGATTATTTATCTCTCTCTTTAGGCCAAGCCATGACCTTGAGTTTGCTCACGCTTTGTAATGCCAATGCACATAAACTCCCACATTTTCTGTATCAGAGCAACTATTGATAGTAACAACCAGATAGACCCACCCGATATATACTGTGCAAAATATACAGCAAATTAAGAATTACTTTAACAAGTTTAGGATTGTAAGTGCAGTGTACACCAGCGATAATCTCACTGAAATAGTTTTCATGTAGAATCTATCAGAGCTTCATGCACGTCACTGCAGACGAGTCCATAATGCAGCTTACTGCAGATTACCTATACGTGCAGAGCCGCGTTCACTCAGGCACATATGGGCATGCGCACTGGGACATACTCACACCTCTATCAACGTTAGCATTTGCTTTGTGGTGCATACTTATGCATAGGTCATATATTGTATAACCTACTTCATGCATGATACATGTGGTGGTTAAAATGTTTGTTGTTTCAAAATAATGCACAAAATGTTTTATGAAAGATGAAAGTTTTTTGTAATCTGTCCTTGGGACCAACATGTCAAAATAAATCATTGCACAGTCGTAAATTAATCACATTTCAGCCATCCATATTTACATTTTCAAGTAAATATGGATATTAAGTAATTGAAAATATCTCCACATTGCTATCGGAGCAGCTCCTCTGTGTTCCATTCAACGGGCGGCTGTGTGCCAGGCTTACTGCTCTGAACGCTTACTCGACCTTTGACCTTTGACATGTCAAGTGGATGACACCAGCTTGGACTCCAATGTCTGACGACATCGGAGGATTGACGAGGGGATTTCACAGACCCCTTGTCATCCTGCCAAACCAATTTACACTTATGGAAACAAAATTGGAACTACTATATTTCCACCCAGGTAATGCCACAATTGAATGTAATAAAGGCCTACTGAATGATCAGTAATAAAGCCATGTGATACAGCAGATGTACTGAATCTTTTGACTCACGAGATGTATATTTTCATCATTAACAGTCTTTATGTCTGTGCCGTTGTTCAACCTCTTTTGTGAGATTCCTCCACAAGGAAGTTCATTAAGAGATTACAGTGAGCCAGTTAAAGGCCGAACGTGCCGCCTGGCTCCTCTGCCATCTTCACTACGTCAGCATGTCCAGAACAATATCTTATCTTATATCTCTCAATATTTAGTTTGATTCCTGTAAATTATTTTCTATCATTGTTTTTCATGTATCTATGCTGTTCCCTACAAACCTTGTTGCAGCAAATCAACTGAAATCTTTAGTTTAGGGCTTGAGACTGGTATAGAATTCAATGTGGTCAGTATGTCATATATGGAGTGTTTGCAAATTAATTCCTTGAAGTTAATTTCTGCCAATCATGGAAATGGTTCACAAGAGTAGAACAATTAAACAATAATATAATAGTTATTTACTTATGTTCTGCACTTTTTGTAAATGCATTATTATTATGCAAGAATATCATTTATAAAATTGATACTGAGATAATCACAGTGTTAGATACAATTTCTCTGACACACAGTGTCCTTTGACAGTCTAGTCTACCAACAGCTTCTAAGCGATTTACATTCAATATTTCCTGAGAGTTTCCCGATAGGCCCCATAGGACATCTTTACCAACCCTGGCTAACCTTGAAGAGTGCCATATAAGCCTCCTATGCTGCTAATGAGATTCTCCGATGCATTGAGGAGAGTCAAGTAGGGCCACCACGCTTACTACTCACTAACATAACACATGAATATAACACATGACATGAAAGAAAACACTGCAATAAACTAAATCTGTCTTGGCTCACATATACAGTATCCTATGGTCTTGTTTAAGGATGAGTTACTTTGTTTTTCTTATAAAGGGAAACATCTATTCTTGGACTTCTTGGTGCAAGTCAAAATAAACATATAAGGGAAAAAATATATAATTAAATTAAAAAATATTTATCCTTTAGGCCTACTACAACTGTAATTTAACCTCTGACCCTTTAGAGGGGGCTAGACACAGTGTTAGCAACTAGGATAATGGATCCAGAGCCTCTGAATTAACCTGGACGCTAAATTTAAACCCTATAGGTTCAAAAGTGCTTGTTAGGCTAATGCAGTATTGTCTGGTATTGTTGTAAGTTGCAGCATTATTGATAGGCATACTTTAAAAAAATATTTGAAACAAGTGGGGTTACTTTCACAACTGTTATGGCATTGTAAAATAAACAAGAAGTGACAAGCAGTATAGATTTGTGTGGTTGAGTTTCCTGTGAGACTCTGTAATGAGGTTTATCTAATACCTTACGTGTGCAAAAAGTGCATTGCAAACGGTGCATTGTGCAATGAAAACTGCGTTCCCTAAACAAGCTGGTAAACCATGATATGAAACTTGATTTTTTTTATAGGCTGTAGCAAAGAACTATAGTGCCATCTAGTGGGATCTGACAGGAGCAATCACACTTTTGGGTTTGTAAGAACGCACGCAAGATGGCGCTCTTATATTGAGGATTTTGTTTATGGCATATTCCCACGGATCATTCAGGAAAACGCTTATGTGGATGCACAGCGGTGTTGTTTCTATCAGAATAATCTTTATGAGCTGTAGCCTACCATATAGAACTATATTAAGACAGATTTCACTTAGATTTTAATTTAGAATACCGTTATTGATTAGTTATTGTTAGTTAGCGAAGGTGGCTACCAGTGTGTGATTAGTTGACAAACTGGCCAAAATCATAAATCACGTTAGAATAACATATGACCAGTTACTGAGGTGCACCTCCTTATCCAATACCTTGTCAAATGCAGAGTAAGTGTTTTTATTGCTTAAGCTAATTATTGTCTTCTGCTCCATCTGAGTTGTGTTAAGTGCTCACATAAACTTTGTGTCGCACCCAGTTTTCTGACGTAGCCTAATCAGCTTCAGAGACCAATGAGAAATTCTGTGAACGGTTGAACGGTGATATGTGAGAAGACATGGTCTTGACATTTTGTTCATTGCAAACTGCAACATTGACCTTTATAGCCTGATAGAAATCAGTCCATTGACTTCCTTTTCATAACTTCATGAATGATTGACCCCGCCTCTTCAGAATGGAATTTCAGTGTAAGTAAATAAAAAAGTAACCACAGAGAAGAATGAATGAATGATTCTAAATATGATTTTGGGGAAGCTGAGACCAACAGGCCAATAATAAACCTATGGACTGTTCATGTGCTGCACAGCTATAAAAAGTATGGAACTCGTCATTTTAAATGGTTTTGTTTGTTTAAAGACTTAGCAAGAGATTAGTAGACAGTTTACATTACACAGTTTACAACAAGTGCAAATTGCCAAATATTACAATAACTGCTGACTACATAAAAATATTATTGTCTGTACTGGGGTTGTTTCATTGTGATATAATTATTATTTAAATAATAATTAAAATCAATAATCATTTAAATGACAATGATTTGCTTAGAGAGAAGCACACTATTATAATATGTTTACAGCTCTTAAAAGTGAAAATAGAGAGAACTTAAAATGTTTTAAACTGGTTCCACAGGCCAAAGCCACAGGTGATTGAAGTCCTCTTATAGTTCTTGTGGTGAGATTTGGCGTGTCAGTCTGTTATAGAGGTCCTGGACGCTTTGACTGTGGTGGTGGCAGACAGTGGTAGAGGAACTGAAGTGCATGAGAGACTATGTGGGGTGTAATCAAAAAGCTGGCAGTGGACTGGAGGTGGACACTTAAGCTTCAGCATAAGAGGTGATCAAACATCTCATGGCGTTTTGTAATTAAAAACTACAAAGAACTACATTTGCACCTTGTGTTGCCAGAAAATCCTAACCACAGCTGATGTTGTTTGCATATGTGCTGTTTTGTTTACTTCAGCTGATCTCTCTCACGCACATGGTTTATTTTTGTCTTTGGTCATTTTTTTATACAATGAACTCATATCTCTCTGTTCTTTGACCTTTGCCCTCTCATCGATAAACAGTCTTATTCAGAACACAAACAGAATGCAACAAATGTGTGTTTATTCCTTGCAGGGGTTTAATTTATGAATAAATTGTTACAGGAAAGCATTTGGACTGTTGTCATGAGTCATTAAATTTCATTTATCCTGAATGATAAATGTCTCTATGGTAACAATCAAATACATAGTTGACCTAAATCTTTCTTTAGTTGTTGGTGTGTTGAGTCCCTTTACAACAGAAAAAAAAAATATTTCAAATTATTTTATTCAATTATTATTATTATTTTATTTTTTTTAAATACATGCATTCTTACTGTTTCTCCACAGATCTGACCTGCAAATTGGCTTGGTGGCATCCACTTCTTGTCTCCATGGAGGTCGATATGTTTAATTCCACACTCATGGAGACAAGCAGATGACGAACCCTCCATCACAAAACTTACATAGTGCACCGTTAACTGATCTCATTATGTTTCACAACACGATATAACAGTATATTTTTCTTGGATGTCTTGCTCAGAACTGAACCTGGATGCCTGCAGATTGTTGCCATTTCACAATGGGGTCCTCAGCTGCTTCAAGGGAAGACTCCAAGAGTATACTCTTGGACTGTGCTGGAGTACAAGTACAGTATATTCTAGAGAGGACCTTCTGTTGCATCATAAATAAATGATGAATGTTTATAATCAGGGCCTTTCCTGTTTGGAGCAGGGAGACAAAAGCCTCTTAACACATGATTTGTGAACGTGTGCAACTCTCACCAATTATACCAGATGGTATCTCTGTTTCTATCTTTCAACAGAAACATAGATCATTTCTGGGGGAGTGTTGACCTAAGCCCACGTGAGGTAGTTTGACTGTGAACAGCTGATACAATAAACCTATGGATAGTTCATGTGGTGTGCAGCTATTAAAAATATGGAACTAATCATTTAAAATGTTTTCATTGTTAAAACAATTAGGAAGAGATTAATAGCTTTTAAAGTCTGTCTACATTCCACAGTTAACTTCAAGTGCAAAATGCCAAGGGTTATAGTAACTGCTGATGACACAAAAACTATTAGTGCAAGCACTGTGGCTGATTGATTATGAGACTTATTTAATCATTTTAATTCTTAATTGAAATCATATTTATTCAAACAATTATTTACTTAGAGAGGAGGTTGAAGATGAGCATGCCTAAACTGAAAAAGAAAACCAGAGGAAATGAAAGTACATGACATTTGTCACTCAAATAATCTGTTGTTTTCCATTCATTCACTCCATTGCACAGTCCTAACAAGTAGCCTATTATAAAGCAAATAGGCTATTTAACTTGTGTTCCAACATACAGTATATACATATTTATTGTCAGTTCAAATGTTTGGTAAAACATGCATGTGATCTGTGAGAAAAACTTACTTAGTTACCATAAGATAAAGTAGATAGAAGAGCAAAGATAAAGAAAGTGACATGTAAATTATTATTTTGTGGATTAAAATCCATGGAATTCAAGCCATCTCCAGTAAAATGTTGGATCCACTCACTGAATCTCTTCCATCTGAGTGAGCACAGACTTAGATAAATCCAAATATTTAAATCCAGATGTCAGCATGTGTTACATATGAAGTTAAAACTCAGATACAACTCAAATCTGTCCAAACAGATTATATGCTTCCACTGAAATGTAACAATGAACTAGAAAATGCCAAGAATAGTAGAAAAAAAATTTTTGTTTGTTTTTTTAAAGCTCATATTTAAATAGACCACATGTGTAATACACTAGTCAATAGCTGATCATTTTAAATCTTTTTAGACAACCTACTGTCTGGCAGAGTCACGTAGCCTAAATTATAGCTTTGTCATTCAGCGCTATATCAAAGTTTCAAAGTTGAAACATAATAATAGGGTGCATTTCAAGTTTAACACCATCTTAAATGAGTCCTTAAATTACAAAGGCAAGTCTTCACAATACTGCTTACTTATCACTGCAACCTCAGACCAAAGGTTTTTGTAGCGTGTGATCCAAGACAAATAGTTATAAGGCCAATATCTTTCCTCCAAAAGTCAATTTTAATAAAAGCAATGAAACACACACAAGCAATGGTTAAAACACATGTGGAATCAATCTAATTTGATGGTTTACAATGATAGTGGAGTGAGATACACCTCCAAAGCACAGTATTATAAAGTCTTAAGATTTAATTTAGTGTCTGTGTTTACAAGTAAACTGTCTATGACCCGGGAACTCTGTCCCGTCTGCTGTTGCTGTGTGGGGCAGTGCTGTGATGGCCTGACATTACAACTTAAACATCAGTTCAGAAAGAAAACACTAAGTAGATAGATTTTTGTATTTCATGGTGGCCGTTTTTGTAAATCTGGAATTCATATTAGATTTTAAAGAAGTGTACATAATTTGTTTTGTGTTGTATCTGTGTCTTTTACATGGTTGCCAAGAAAATATAGTCCTGCATGAAGTTTCAACTATTTATTTAAGCTAATTAAACATGCATGTTTTTTCAAATGCAAAAACATGTTCATGGTAAAGATATGATTTCAAGTAAAGTTGCATATTGTCATTTTTCTTCTCTGCGGTTATAACAGATGGTTTTGACACATATTTTAAGCTGTTAACCAGTATCTGGTGACAAATACTGGTTAACACTTTGATGTGGAGCATGCATAGGTTCAGACTGGAGATATTTCTTTTTTCATTATTGCATGACCATGAGTTGTTGTATTTGTATTTATTTATTTATTTATTTACTTACATAGTTCTTCAGAAAATGATGACAAAAGCATCTACACTGTCAGTTTCAGTGGCATGTTTATTCTTGTAGATAACACATTTGTACACCACTTCCTGTCACAGCAAGACTGTGGATGTGACACTAAACTTTCCTGTTTTGTGTTTATTAATTCTATTCGGGCATTTTTATAACCCATTAAATAAAACTTGAACACATGCATAGCTACATACAAATGTGAAATTTATTACAAAAATAAATAAAACACATACATAAAAATGAACACATAATATCTTTCAAGCTAAAGCCATTAAAGGTTCACCATAACTTTTCTGGTGGAGAATCACCACATTTGTCTAAACCATAGAGCTATAGCCATAGAGCTTTGTGTGGCAATATTTCGCCCTGGATTTATATGACATGAAGAAATAGAAATAAAATAGATATAAAAACAGAAGATGTATAAGTTTAATGACACTATAAACAAATATAACAAAAGCATTGACCAGGTGCTGGACAACTGCTGGACCACACAAATGAAGTGAGACACTCGAGCTCACACATTTGCCACATGTGTTTGGATCGTCTTTAAAACCGTAACAAAAGCTCTGCTGCCTCTTCGGTGATATCACCACCACTGTTGCTTTGCACATGGCAAACTGCTTACCACTGCATTTCTACAAACAACACATATGTTTTCAGAATTCAGCTTGTATTTATTTGAATCATTATTTACATAGCAAAACAGACTTCATCAGAGCAATAAGACATATGAGCCTTTTCATGTTATAACAAAGAGATACTTTAAAACCCTGATGGAAACTCAAGTTTAGCTGCGGCAGCATTTACACTGCGCTTCTCAATCACCTTTTTGTTTCAGTCAAAGGTCTCAATGCAGTTTAACAGGAGGACTGGTCAGGTAGGGTCAGCAGATCTGTGTCAGAGCAGTGTGAAGAGACACAACAGAAAAGAGCTCATTTTTATTCAGCCAACTACTCTGTTGCCATGGGAAGGTTTGTGTTCCCTCATCATTAGCTTACTCAAATTGGATTGATTCATGGATGTTTAAATAATTCTACATTGTTTTGCAAGTGCCTTGTGGCTCTTGCTTTGGTATTAAAGCTGCTCGGGTCCTAACTAGATCTAGGAAGTAGTCCCTGTACTGGCTTCCTGTGGCTCAAAGAATAGATTTACAGAAGCAGCTCAAAAGTCTCAAAATGCACTTTAACATACATCTCTGACATGTTAGTGCCATATAAACCTGAGGACTTCAGAGTGTGAGAGGAGGTCCTCATCTCATGACTGCTGGTGGCTCAGAGTCAGGACTAAACATAGGGAATCAGCATTTCAGTTTTATGCAGCTAAAATATGGAACTTCCTGAAGATATGAAACAGACCTCTGCTCTGACTGTTTAAATCCAGACTCAAAATGATTCTGCTTAGCTATGCATATGACTGAAAGTTTTTTTTCTTTTGCACTCTTATTTTGTCTACATATTATGTTATATAAATAAATGTGCCTTGCTTTAAGTGCTCAGAAAACTTCCCCCATCACCGCCCACACCCCCTGCACTTACTTGCAATCATTCAAAACATGAAAACTCTGAGGTTTTAAAGGTTAAAAAAATGTACAATAATCACCTAATATTACTAAGCGGACTGGACTGAGTTGTTTATCTAACTGAATGAAGCAAGCTGGAGTCGGAAAACCCCATGAAGTGAAACATTGTGGGAGTAGAACAAACATCTCTCTTGTTTTATACAAAATAATCGTAATGTCGTTCTAAGATCTGGACTTTACCAAACACTTTCAAATATGCTTGTGCATTATATGGAAAGAGTTGCTATGGGCCAAAGAGCAACATTATAATCAGTGGACAGTTCTATTGAATTAGGCATCAACTTCACTGGAGTTCTTTTTTTTTTTTTTTTTTTTCCCAGGAAAGTGTCCTGCTCTTGGTATGGTCTACACATAAATATGGTTTATAGTTGCAGTATTCTTGCAATCTTGGAACATATTATTATCTTAATAATTCATTGTGGTCATTTGGCTGGATGCCATTTGTGCATTCCACATTAACCTTATAAACTGTATAGAATGTTGAAATGCATACCCAAAACATATGCTCTTTTCATGGAATCCTAATATTTAGGAGCAGCTGTACCACTCCAATATTTTAACATGGCTCTCAATATTACTTCTATACAGACATTGTAAGGCATAATTATGTTATGTGGAGTTGTGTGTGCAAATAGTCCCATTACCAAAATAAACCACTTCCAGCAAACCAAAATTTACTTAGATCTACTTAAGTACAAGTGCAAGTACAAAAAATAAAGAATATCTATCAGACACAAACTTGTAACTTTTCACCGCTATAATATTTTGATGCCCTTAATTTAAAAAAAAAAACATTATGAGATAAGAGCAGATGTGTGGGAAGCCTGTCAGAATGAGTCATGCACATAACCCAGCACATGATTTCCTGTTGTTTCAAGCTCTCTACTGATTTCAACCAACATATTTATTCTTTCATTTACATGCTTTATAAGTGTTGGCATACATAGCTCGATTATTATATACGATGATCTGCTTTCTAGAGTTAGACATGTTTAAAGATCAGAAAGTATCACCATTTAGCATTGAGAAAGTCTCCAGTTTAAACACATACCCAGTTTTCAAGGTTTGCTGCAACCTCATCTTTAATACCACTTTATTGAGAGTACACTGGAATATTCATCACTGTACTAATATACTACTGTAAATGGTCAGGACACTGATAATAGTAGGACCTTTATCAAGAACTGAAAGTGAAGAAACACACTAACACGCAAAAACTAAGATGTGTGAGGAACTGGTTTATTTTACCGGGGAATTTCAAAAATAACCATCTCTCACCGTATACACTGATGGACAAATACAAACAATGGAAGAAAGAATGAAAAAGACACAAATAAGTGTTTTATATATGTTACATACAGCAATACATTAAGTAGGTCTGAATTCAGTTTTAATGTACTAAAGACTTTACATCATTTAAAGGTACCGTATGTTTTCTGTTGGCGTGTGGGGCACCAGCTTGTCTCCATGCTTTGTCTGAAATGTTCCATTGTATTGCATAGTATGACATTAATGATGATAATCAAACACCACATTTATATAGCAAAATGCCAAGATGTTTTGCAGTGTATTATTAATTCAGTCCATACTAGGTGGTGGTAAGCTAATATTATCGCTACAGTCCTGAGGTAGACTGCAAGATGGGTGTTTGGCCTAAAGACACAATGGCAGAGCAGAAATCAGTCCTCTGATCTTCGGGCTAGATGACCACTTATCTAACTACTGAGTCACTGTAGCCTCAATGTAAACTTATTTTTCTCATATGGAGACAACCAGATGCCATCACCTGGCCAAATTTCTCTACAGATGCTGCTGACATGAGAAGGCATGTTTATCAAAATAATATTCTACAATATACCTGTAATTGAACAAAGGCAAGATAGATAAGATTAATGCCAAATTAAATCAAATTAAATCAAAATTATCTCCATGAGACAAGCAGTTTGTGGAATGATGAGTTTAATTACATGACATGTGACACATCATTAGTCATGGTAGGTTCTTCATGATTGCTAGAGTTTATCTTGTTACGTTTTCCACATATTCTGAGTGCAAATGCATAGAGAATTGGATTCAGGCAGCTATTAATAAAGGTTACAGATGCAAATATGTTGTAGCTAGATTCAAAAAACTTATGTATACCAGAGACCTTTTGGATAATGGCTACTCCAACCACAAGATCAAAAATAAAGTATGGCATCCACAGGGCAAAAAAAGTTATTATGATAGCTGTGATCAGTTTCGATGTCCAAGATCTTTTTAAAAACACAGCCTGGTTCATCTTTCTGTTCAGACAAATGTATGTAAAGGCTGTAATGAAGAATGAGCTGAAACCCACAAAGCATTCAGAGAATAAAACAGCCACTTGTTGAGCTGTATTTGTTGAGTTGTAACATGGAAAGCACATATGCCGATCCGATCCGATCCTGATTTTGATATCTCGAACCACTAAAGGTGAGATGGAGAGGACCATGGACATGGCCCACAAGAGGACAAGGAGTCTCTTCTTGAACCTTAGACATCTCTTCTGGTGTATGACCTGCATGTAGCGCTGGATGCTCAGAGCAGTGACAGTTAGCAGACTGCTGTTGAGGCTACAGTGCACAATAAAAGCCATGATCTTACATGTGGCAACACCCAGGGTCCAGCTATACAGAAGAGTGTAGATCCAAACAGGCAGAGTGACCAAGCACAGCAGGTCCGACATGGCCAAGTTCATCATCAGACACTGGGACAGTCTGGACAACTGCTGCCAGGTTGGTCTGAAGATTAAAACTGCTATATTTCCAGGGAATCCCACAAGGAAGCACAGTGACAGGAGCATTGCAGGAGCAAGATCGCTGGAGCGCCGTAAGACTGAAGTTGGAGGTTTTGTGGTTGAGGAGTTGGCAACGGTCCGATTCAGCATCTCCATGTCTGCTGCACAGACGTTTAATGTTACAATAAGGTTTGTCTCTTCTGGTCATGAAACAGGGAAATGGCACATGTTCATGTAAACCACATTGTATTCTAAAATTACTCACAGTAAGGCTTTGTTTCAAACGTATTTGGTCAGGTTTACCAGATAGGACTCTACCTCTCAGTAAGTGTATTAGTTATAGGCCTCCAATACAAATAACATTTCTTGGGTTAATTAAAGGATTTCAAGACCACATTTGTGAATCGGCACAGTAAAGTTACAAATGCCTATTGAAAGCAAATTCAAAATCTTGCTGTGCATAGTAACTACTGATATGTTGTCAGCTCAGTCTGAAGCAACAAGCACACCCAGATCTCTGACATGCATCTTAAACTAAACTGAACTGAAAATTAACATAATGTCACTTCAAATATGCTGAGGGCCAGTTACAAAGTTTAATGTAAAAAAGAAAAAAGACAACCTAGGTCAACCTAGTCTTACTCAGTTGGAGATATATCTGGTACCTCAAGAAGCAATAGATACAACACTAACATTCTACCTCAGTAATAACTGTGATCAATTCAATTCAATTCAATTCAATTTGATCGTGTGTAAAACTGAAACTTTTTAAATAGCACTCTGATAACTAGTGTGTATGAAAATTGTGCAAAATTGTAACATGGTGAAGGTGGGCGTTTTGATACTGGCCGTATGTTATACTACGCTACTTCCATTTTGACACAGTCACTATCAATTACCAAAAACACCAAACTTATACAGTATGACTCATGAGCAAACATGCCACATAACTGCATCTGACTGCATCTGACTGGACCAAAACCCTGTTTATTTTATATTTATATATAAACATTATTATAATAAAACAGGGGAACTTAACATTGTATAAATACACTTGTTATCTAACTATTTAACAAGATTGCACATAATAATCAAGGCCTATTACTCTGCAATGTTAGAATTAGTTTATTAGTTAGAATTAGTGAGAATTTAATATTGCTGAAGATTTCTATTTGTCTGACATAGTCCACTTGCAAATGCATAAAGAAGTGGATTTATGCTACTGTTAAGAAATGTTAAACTTGCAAAAATGTTAAAGCCAGAATAATAAAACCAAGCAATCTTCAAGTTGTTACTTAAAATGTCACCAACAATCACAAGATTAAAAATCAAGTATGGTGTCCACAGGACAAAATATGTCACTATAATAATAGTAACAAGCTTGACTGTGGATGGATTGTTGAAAAATACTGCCTGCTTTAACTTTCTGTTTAGAAGAATATAAGCACACACTGTTATGCTGAATGAGCTTATTCCAAAAAAACATTCAGTGAGCAACACAGCTACATGTTGTGCATGCGAGGAGTATTTTGGAGCACAGCTGATCTTTTGATTATTTACTTCCATAATCTGTCGAGCCACTGACATTGGAATGGAGAGAGCCATCGATATGAGCCACATCACCACAAGGAGTCTCTTCTTGAACTGGAGAAATCTTTGTGGATGCACGACCTGCATGTAGCGCTGGACGCTCAGAGCAGCTATGGTCAGCAGGCTGCTGTAGATACTACAATATACCAGAAATGTTATAATCTTACAGGTGGTGATGCCCAGAGCCCAGTCATAAAGTACAGCATAGATCCAAACAGGAAGAGTGACCAAGCACAGCAGGTCGGACATGGCCAGGTTCATCATCAGAAACTGGGTCAGTCTGGACAGCTTCTGCCAGTTTGGTCTGAGGATTAAAACTGCTATATTCCCAGGGATTCCCACAAGGAAGCACAGGGACATGAGTCCTGCTGGGACCAGAGACCTAAAGCCCCATAGGTTTGAAGATGGAGGTCCTGCAGTTGAGGAGATGTTGAAGTTAGCAGAGGTCAGGTTCAGCTGGTCCATGTCTGCTGCAGAGGCTTGTACTTTCTAAGCACAAAACAAGGAACTGCTTAGTTTTAAACTTGATCAGATTCTAAAAGTAGAAAGCTGATGAAAGACAGGAAATAAACCAGTTTTCCAGATTACATTCGCGCCTCTTCAGAACAGACTACATACTTATCTGATTGTAACTTGCACTAAATTAGAAAATAAATAAATAAATAGTTTCTCTCATCATGCTGATTCACTAGAGCATAATTTGAGCATCATTTACCCAAAAATGTCAAGAGATAATTTTACCTAACTCATGACAACACACGCTACATACACACCAAAAATCTAATCATTCTGTGATTTCTGGAGTCAAGTAAACAGAAAAATCTGAAGTAAATCATCTGATTTATCTCAGATAGATTGCTTACACCTGTACTGTTAACACAGATTTGTGTTCACTCTGCTCAGACTGACATCCAAATGGCCTCTGACAGTGGTCTAATTACAGTCCTTGTGTCGGTAGACTTCACTGCAGTTTTCAACATTGAAACACAGTATCCTGTATCCACAGTATCCTAGACAGGTTAGAAAAGCTTGTGATAATCTTTGGTAATACCTGGGGGTTAGATCTCCTCCTGCTTGTCAGTTTGTCTGTTTCGTCAAGTCATTTTATGCCAACATCCGCCCCAATGTCCTGCAGTATTCCACAAGGGTGCTAGGACCAATTTTGTTTGTCCTGTATTTGCTTTGACATTGAAAAATCAAGGAAGTGTGTTACTGTATGTATGCAGATGACCTTCAGTTGTACTCATATTTAGAGAACCTTAAATTCTAACCTTCATTTCTCCCTGAAATATTGGAATCATTCTATGCACTCCCCATTGATCTCAGAACTACAAAATATGTTGAGTCATTTAAAATTAATTTAAAGACTGACCTGTATAGACCTGCTTTTATAGACCTGCTTTAATTGCCGCCATGTTTCTATTTTTGTAAATATTGGTGACTGTATTGTATATTTGTATAGTATGTTTCTGCATTTTATCTTTTTTTTTTTAATATCTTAAATCTGTAAAGCACCTTGTGAGCTGATCTCTATGTTGATGTTGATAATGTTGCGTACTTACTTGAAAATTGCTGTATGTAGTTTTCAGATCAGTAAAATATATTCTCTGAAACTGACTTTAATGGCATATATTTGTTTTACACAACAAGGCAAGTTTTATTTGTTGAGCACAATTTGTATTCATATCATAATGCACAGTGCTTTACAGAACAAGAAAGACAAATAAGAAAAGAAAAGAGTGCTGAAAAACTCCTTTCAGTAACCCTAAAAAGTACACAAGTTAAACATAAAGCCCAAAATAATCAAGTGCCCACTGTGACAGTCTCAGATAAAATAATACATTTTAAAAATAAATTTACAATGGTAACTAAAAAAAGAACACTGAAATATTACACAATTATCTATTTCAAATCAGAAACTGGTGTGCTTTGGAGGGTTGTATTTTTACGACATAAGCCACCTGCAAAAGCATAGAGAAGTGGATTTATGCTACTGTTAATAAATGTTAAACCTCCAAAAAAGTTTAAGCCAGTTGGATAAAATTTAACAATCTTCAGGTTGTTGCTTAAAATGCCCCCAGCAATCACAAGATTAAAAACCAAGTATGGCATTGAGCATACAAAAAATGCCACTATGATAGTGGTGACAAGTTTAAAGACAGATGAATTGTTGAAAAATACTGCTTGGTTTAGCTTTCTGTTCATTAAAATATATGCACATGCAGTAATGGTGAATGAGCTGAATCCAAAAAAGCATTCAGTGAGTAACATAGCCACATGTTGTGTAGAGTTGTATTTTATAAAACAGCTGATCTGATGCTGGTCTTTGATGATTTGACGAGCCATTAAAGTTTGAACGGAAAGGACCATTGATATGATCCACATCACAGTAAGAAATCTCTTCTTGAACTGGCGACATCTCTGTGGATGCACGACCTGCATGTAGCGGTGGACGCTCAGAGCAGTAATTGTCAGGACACTGCTCGAGAGACTACAGTGTACCACAAATCCAACAATCTTACAGGTGGCGACGCCCAGAGCCCAGTCATAAAGTACAGCATAGATCCAAATAGGAAGAGTGGCCAAGCACAGCAGGTCGGACATGGCCAGGTTCATCATCAGACACTGGGTCAGTCTGGACAGCTTCTGCCAGTTTGGTCTAAGGATTAAAACTGTTATATTTCCAGGAATTCCCACAAGGAAGCACAGGGACATGAGTCCTACTGGGGCAAGAGTCCTCAAACCAGAAATTGAAAATGGAGGTCCTGCTGTTGAGGAGATGCTGAAGTTAGCAGAGGTCAGGTTCAGCTGGTCCATGTCTGCTGCAGAGGCTTGTACTTTCTGAGCACAGAACAAGGAACTGTTTAGTTTTAAACTTGATCAGATTCTAAAAGTAGAAAGCTGATGAAAGACAGGAAATTTTCCAGATTACATTTGCGCCTCTTCAGAACAGACTACATACTTATCTGATTGTAACTTGCACTAAATTAGAAACAAATAAAAAGCACAGAACAAGGAACTGATCATGTTTAAACCAGCTCAATATTCTAAAAATTGCAGGCTGACAGTAAGAGACACGTAACAAGGGGAAGGAAAGAAACTGTCTACACCACTATATGCTATGTGCTTATCTGATCTGAACTTGATCTAACTTGAGAGATTTCTCTCATTTCTTTTCTGATTCATTCTGATCAGCAAAAACTATGTAGACAAAACCAAACTTATGACCAAACACGCTACGTTTAGATGGACACCAAAATCTGATCATTATTAGATTTCTTCACACCTGTACAAAATAAATTTACTTTGACTTCAAAATAGGGGTGGGCAATATTGAGCAAAATTTGTTTATCTCAGTACATGTGTTTTGTGAATCTGAACAAGGCATTTGTCTGTGTCCATGTCCTTGTGGTGACCTTTGAGGATGCTCTAGAAGGGCAGGGTCTGTGGCCGGTGCTCACATGGCTGACAGTAAATCAGACATGCTCCCAGTGCATGTTGGACTCTTGTCACTGGTTCTGTTCATTGCTTTTATGGACATAATTTCTAGGCAGGGGTCAGTGAGGGTCTGCTTTGAGGACCACAGGACAATCAGGATCTTCAGCATGCTCTGGTTTGCAGCTGAATGTGAATCAGCTGGGATGAAAATTAACATATCCAAATTTGAGGCCCCATTTCTTGACTGAAAAGGGTGGCTTGCATTTTCAAAGACGGTGCAGATATCTTATTAATATCTGATTACTCCATTTGTAATTTTTCTGTCCATGTACCAAATGCGGTCAAGATATAGCTTCAGTAAATTAAAAGAATTGTAATAATTTGAAACAACTTTATTATATAAGTTGAAGGTGCAATTTAACGTTTCCACTACCCACTTCTTTCCATGGAAATGTCACTATTTTGCCTGAGGATTAAAATGAAGAAGAACAGGGTGGAACCTGCCGTCCTGAGGCCCCATGGCAACAAAACTGGACAAGCTGAAGTCAAAGATCAGCTGGTCCATGTCAGAGGTTTAAATTTACAATGAGGCTGGTCATTTCATGAGACAGGGGAAATTTGCTTAATTCTTTCAATAAAATTTTTAAGTTTAGGTTATTTTGCATTAATTTCTGTAACCGTTATGTTTGTGTGCAGGAAAGATAAGGACCTTCTGTTCTTTTGACAGATGACCTTTATTTGACATTGATGTACGAAACCTATATGTTATGCGGCGCGTGGGAGGCCTGTAGACAATGCGGGTGCGAGCTTCCGGCTCCTTCGACAAAGCGAGGTGGCAGTAACTTCACACCTGGCTGGGGAAGAGGCATAGGGGGCTAGAATGGTGAAGACTGTGGTTTCTGAAAAGTGTTGCCTGTACTTGGAAATGTGTTCTATATGTGACGTACTGATCACTTTGCATGTACCTGGGTGGAGTTCTGTGACCCTAGATAAATATTGAAAATTCTGCATAATAACTCAGATCTTGATTTTGGTTGGCATTGGCCCTCCGGCTGTAACTCGGCTTAGGAGGTCAAGATCTCTAATTCGGACTAGGCTGTGCTTTATAGCTTTCCTGGTCACAGGGTAATTTCTCCAAAAGGGTACTTGCAGAGTGATTTGTCCTAATTATTTTTGTATGAGCTTTCTGGTAAAAATAGCGGCTACGGAGTGAGTTGGTCATAAGTGCTCTGTCGTGAGCACTCCGGGCCTAAAAACCCTGAGTAATCACAAGTATAAAGAGTGACAACCAGTCACCGGAGTAGTGCATAAAATAATAAAAAGCAGAAAAAGTAAGACAAAGACAAATCACTTGTTGGGATCTTTTGTTGAGTCTCTCCCTTAATTATTATACATAAATATTTACCACGAGCAAGTCAAGTCATCCTAGGTGAGTTACTTACAAAAACGCAATGTTTGAGGAAATTTTCTAATGCAATGTTTTTGATGCAAAGCTAAATTTGGTTAAATTCTTGAGGCACTGCTAAGGATAAATGAATAGTTGCAATGTTTTTGGTGTAAAACTAAATCTGGTTAAATTCCTTGAGGCACTGTTAAAAATGAGTTTTGGGCAAATGTTGTCAGATAGAGTATAGAGTATGTCATAAGGTGGTCACTAAAGCTAAGTGAAGTTGTAAGTGTTCCCCAGGTGATACTTTAAGAGTTGTTAAAGTTACCTGTATGGTGTTTCTTAAAGCTAAATGATACTTTTTGAGTGTAGTCAGATACTTACCTTGTGTTATCGAAGTTAAACGATATTTTTGAGTGTAGTCAAATATTTACCTTGTGTTATTGAAGAAATTATATTTTTGAGTGTAGTAAATTATATTTTTGAGTGTGCATTGTGGTTTTAAAGTTATGTGATATTTTGAGTGTTGTCAGAGTTATCTGCAGTGTGTTTTTAAAGTTGAGTGATTTTCTGAGGGTTATTAGAGTGATTAGAAAAAGGTAGTGAGGCTCAGGCTGCGTAATTTAGCCCTGGTCTTTTCAACAACACTGTATTAAAAAATGACTCATCAAGACACAGTGGTTTGTTTTGCAATCTCTCTTTTTTTTTTACTACCTAATATGGCAACATCTGCCCCCTAGCAGTTAGTATCAAGCTATTGGGCTTATGATTTTGACAAACTACTTGGAAACTACTTTCTGCTATGTAAACCTTTCATGTGACAAGTTGGAAAATTTAAGATTTAAGAGTTTACCAGTAAAATTCAGCTTCAGAAACTTAAATTATATAATTTTATTTGTATCTTTGTACAACAAAATGTAAAACATTTCTCAACTGTATATGCATGGTAGGCTGGTTAAGCAAGTGTATATTTTACCTTAATGATTCATAAGACTAAACACATAAGAGTCAAAACTCAAAACCAACAATGCATTGCACTGACCCTTGCAGGTTAACTTAAAATATGTTAATGTTAAGAAATATTTACTTGTGATCTTTTAATAAACAATGGTAAAACTACTCATTTTATCCAGGTATACCAAGCTTGTTATCTAGTATAGATATAACTCTTATTGTGAATTATTTAATCTTGTTGAGGGTTTGAAATTTTTATGACATATTCCACCTGCAAAAGCGTAGAGAAGTGGGTTTATAGTACTGTTGAAAAATGTTAAACCTGCAAAAATGTCATAGCCATCATTGTAAAACTGATCAATCTTCAGGTTGTTACTTAAAATACCTCCCACAATCACAAGATTAAAAATTAAGTATGGCATCCACAATACAAAAAATGTCACTATGATAGCAGTAACGAGTTTGAAGGTAGTTGGATTGTTGAAAAATACTGCCTGGTTTAGCTTTCTGTGCAGAAAAATATATGCACATGCAGTAATGGTGAATGAACTGAATCCAACAACGCATTCAGTGAGTAACATAGCCACATGTTGTGTAGAGTTGTATTTTATAAAACAGCTGATCTGATGCTGGTCTTTGATGATTTGCCGAGCCATTAAAGCTTGAATGGAAAGAACCATTGATATGATCCACATCACGGTAAGAAGTCTTTTCTTGAATTGGAGACATCTCTGTGAATGTACGACCTGCATGTAGCGCTGGACACTCAGAGCAGTTATGGTCAGGACACTGCTGTAGATACTACAATATACCAGAAATGTCATAATCTTACAGGTGGCAACGCCCAGAGCCCAGTCATAAAGTACAGCATAGATCCAAACAGGAAGAGTGACCAAGCACAGGAGGTCGGACAAGGCCAGGTTCATCATCAGACACTGGGTCAGTTTGGACAGCTTCTGCCAGTTTGGTCTGAGGATTAAAACTGCTATATTCCCAGGAAATCCCACAAGGAAGCACAGGGACATGAGTCCTACTGGGGCCAGAGACTTGATGTGCCAGGGGATCAAAGTTGGAGGTCCTACAGTTGAGGAGTTAGTGAAGTTAGCAGAGGTCAGTTTTTGGTCCATGTCTGCTGCAGAGGCTTGTACTTTCTAAGCACAAAACAAGGAACTGCTCGTGTTTAAACCAGCTCAGTTTCCTAAATTAGCAAGAGGCGGAGGAAAAACATGCTTATCATGCTAAACTACATGCTTATCTAGAATCTGCCTTCCTGGTTAAATTTCCATCTCGTCAAAAGTACCTTTACAGCTGCTTTTCTCTCATCACTTTGCTGACCTTCGCTTCACTTCGCTTTCCATTCTGGTTGACATAAAGAAGCATCATTTACCCCCCAAAAGTGAAGATATAACAGAAGAAACCTAACTAACCAAACACTGGCTACACATAACATGGACATGCATTTGTCAGATTATTGAAATTTCATGTAAACACCAGCATGTAATGTTGTTATTTATTAATAGTTCACCTTTACAAAAATAAGTTTATTATTTTGACTCTCAAGTTGGAGATGTCATTGCTCTGAGATGGTTAACACTATGGCATTGAAATTACCATAGCAGGTCACAGTAATAATGTGTATTTCATTTTTTAGGTAATTATAAAAAAAAAAAAATCCATCCATCCATCCATTTTCTTCCGCTTATCCAAGGTCGGGTCGCGGGGGCAACAGTCTGAGGAGGGCCTCCCAGACTTCCCTCTCCATAGACACGTCCTCCAGCTCTTCCAGGGGGATCCCGAGACGTTCCCAGGCCAGGCGAGAGACATAGTCCCTCCAGCGTGTCCTGGGTCTTCCCCGTGGCCTCCTCCCAGTGGGACATGCCCAGAACACCTCCCGAGGGAGGCGTCCAGGAGGCATCCGGAACAGATGCCCGAGCCACCTCAACTGGCTCCTCTCGACGTGGAGGAGCAGCGGCTCTACTCCGAGCTCCTCCCGTGTGACTGAGCTCCTCACCCTATCTCTAAGGGAGCGCCCAGCCACCCTGCGG